GTAGATGAAGTCAGTCCACTTAAACATGTAAAGGTAAGGAAATCCTGTCATTGTTGAAATGTAAGCAATGCTTTAATGGCAAATACATCTAACCGGATCATGTCTGATACCAAGGGCTGGCATGACACAGCAAGAAAAAGACGTGAGGCTGAACATAAAGCCCTCTCAACTGATGGATTCACATTTCTTCCAACAAAAAGAAAATATAAAACACTGGTAGGAGAATAATATTTTAATTAAAATTAAACATTAATTATAATAAATTAAAATGTTGCAGCAGTTTCCTTTTACTGCTGAACTGATACTTTATGCAAACTGAGACTGATGAACATGCACACCTGAGGCCTGCTGTCTTCCCTTTAGACATGCTCAGATGGACTGAATTGTGTGGAGATACGCTGCCCTCTGCTGGGCCTGGACAGTACTGCACGGATTGTTCTGCATTCTCGCCTTTGGAACGCCACTTTGGCAGAGGTGCTCCATTTCTGAAAAGTGCTATTGTAATGTGTATAGCCACAGCAGGTAGCTGTTCTCAGGGAACAAGCCACATCGTTCTATATCCCCCCTCTAATCGGAATACTATCAAAATTAGACACTAGCTGGTGTACATTGTAGCTCATATAGAAACCTCTATTTCCAGAGGTGACACAGTGTTGTAGTGTTTAGTGTAGTACTGGACTCATGGTAGAAAATTCTAGGCTCAGAATTCATGGTCTTTGGCGTTTCTGTGTGAAGTTTCCTCTGAGTTCTCTGTCTTCAGCTTGCTTCTTAGTTTAATTGGTGATTCTAAATTTACCTGAGGTATAAAAGCAAAGTAGATACATTTTTGCATGAATATATATGAAAAGGTAAAATGCTGATTGTAGTGTAAAAGCGCTTTGAGTGGTCATTAATGCTAAAATGCCAGTTCATCCTGTAAATTACCATTAAACACTAAAAATCACCAACAAAGTGAGCAAGGAGAGACAAGAATAAAGCCTACTTAAGAAAATTTTTTGAAAGCCTTTTACTATGAGGGAAGTGAATGCAACGCCTCTGATTATTTTACACAGTTGTGGTCCTGTGAGTAGGGATGGGTACCGGTATCTGGTGCCAT